TTTTTTTTTTTTTTTTTTTTTTTACGTCTCAATAATATAATAATATAATATAACATTTTATTTAGAAATAGAATTTATATTACGATATAAATTTATATTTCGATTCGATTTTTTCGAATAATTTTGACGTTACTTAAAAAAAGATATCCCAATAACGAATGCAAATTATTTCCAGAGATTTTAAAATCTCATTGATCGATGTTTCAAGTAAAAAAACGAAACGTTAAAAAGTTTTACTTTAATTCGACTTTTATTTTATTCGCGCGATAATAATATATTAAACGATTCACTTTTGACGAGTTATTTATATTTATACATATATCACTACTCCCTGTATGAATGTTATTCGAAATCGATAAAGAAATTCAGCGATCTTTGTACTTTTTTAAATACATATATATTTCGAAGAATATATTCGCGAAATAGAAAAACCATAAATTCCACAAATTCAATTAAAACATCTTTCACAGAGTTCGTCATTATTTTAACCGAACGTTGTTGGAAAAAAAAACCGAATAAATTTTGACGAATGATTAATGATCGAGAGAAGTACGATTTTTTTTAGCAGTTCGAATATTATTAAATCGATACAGACATCAACGTGTGAAAAATAACGGTTCAAAAGATTTTCTTCGACTATTATCTTGTTAGGGGATCAAGAGTTACGGCAGCTATTTAACGCGAGACGATACGATGATTAATTCGATTTCGTTAATATTTTGCGCCCCCCTTCTCCATCTTCCTCCTTTTCAATCTCGTAAAATATTTTTTTTTTTACGGTATTTGAAAAAACTTGGACTCGAGTAAACTCTGAATTCGAAAAAAAGAAAAAGAAGTGGACTTACCTGTTAAATTTCAACTGGATTCGACGAGCCATGCGGTGAATCCCATCGATCACAGCGTTCGATGAAGATCGACGATCGATGATAGCACGTGCACGAAGTTTGTCAAGCAATCACACAATCGGGATAATCATCTTATCTCCACTTCTCCCTCGGGAAATTTTTCCTCTCTTTTTCCTGTTCTCTTCACCTTCTCTCCTTTCCAACGCAACTCTGTCCATGCTCTTCTCACGTGGAACCAGGATCGATCTCGTCGATCGATTTTTCCATCGATACTTGGTACTCGCGTCGTTGACTGACGAGGGGGGAAGAGAGTACTGTTCACTGTTCCCTTCCTCGACGAGGAAAAAGAATCCTACGAGAGCTCGCCTCGCACAGGATAACCCCACATGTTGTCAAGAATCAAGTCACTCGATCCGGGCAAAAATTTCAGAATCCTCGAATCGATCCTTCGAACCACATCCTACGATTACCGTTCGCAGGACGCTTCGATATCGATACCGGCAAACTCTGTATCTCATTCGAACTTATGACAGCGGAAAAGGAACGAGGAGGAGAGGAGAGGCGGTGATCAGATCGGTGTTGCAACGAAATACAACAATAACCAGGTGGCCTGTCTCTTTCTCTCTCTCTCTCTCTCTCTCTGTTCTCCAAGGAACGACGAACCGAGCCAAGGCGTTTTCAAGAAGCGAAGAAGAGCAGAGCCTTGAACTTTCCTTCCTCTCTGGCGAAAAAGAAATTCGAACGAGCGGTTCGAGGGTTGTCACGTGGGCCCAAGGGCGCAAGGTGAACGTATTCTGCGAAGCGAGTTATAAAACCAGAGACAACCAGAGAGAAGGTAGGGTTTCGGATCCGTGCCGGCTGGTGGTCGAGTAGTTTGTGCCTGAGAGCGCAAGCGGAGCTACGACCATCTTACTCCGTCTCCTTTCCACCACACCTGCTTCTTTCCTCCACTGTGATTCCTCGTCCCTCTTCAGATCCTGCGTCGCGATCCCTCGGAGAATTTCTTTCTCTTTCGGTTGCTCGTCTTGCTAGATGACGCCAACCTCGAGCGATGGCCTCGAACCTTTCGCGCAACTTTCGAATCTAGCGCCTCTTAGACTCTATTATCCCCGCGATTTCGATCGCGACATCCTCGAACAAACACTCTATTTATCCATTTATCGATCGTCGCGAACGACGACGAACGCGCTTTCTTCCTCGACTTTCCTCACTCGTCGCGAAGCCCAGTGATTCCCTTTTCACGATAGACAGAGGCACGCTTCCATCGCTAGACCCCTTCCCTTCCCTCCCCCCAACACCTCTGGTCTTTATATTTTTTCCCCCTTTGGTTATCGCGCCTAGGCTAATCCTGGCCTAGGCTAATAGCAAATTGTCCCTTTTCTTTTTAACAACACTCGTTACATTCGTTGTTTCTTCCTTCTTACCGGTGATTCTCCACTCGTTTTCCTCTCTCTCTCTCTCTCTTTCTCTCCTTCCTATTTTTCTTTCTATCTCGAATCGGTGCGTTCTCGATACGGCACACGTATACGTATCCTATTCCCTTTTTTGGAGGATTAATTTTTCATCGACTTTTTATCGATATCAGGAGGAAAACACTAGGAGCATACGTAACGATTAGCATTGGCCATTGATCTACGTCTAGGCCGATGTCATCGACTCCGGCCGAGAAACACGGCTGGCATTCTTGCTCCAAAAGAGAGGAGAATCCAGCGTGGTATAACTTATTTTGTATACAGAAGAATGGACTATTCATTTTTAACGGGGAGACAATAAAGATAAGTCTTTTCGCACAGTCGAATAAATATTAGAAAAATGACTTCTTAGAGCTAAGAAATTACATTTTCTTTTTCTCGGATCAAAATTCAATTTCCTCCTTTTTGCGGAACATACTCGATGGAGAGAAGTTCACGAATACCGAAATTTTAGATGATTTATCGATTAATCAGATTGTTTTCATCATTGATACGTCTCGAGCGTACGATGAACCGCCTCCATTCTACTTCCATTTCGATACTTCCGTTTCGAATGGCGCGCGCGACTAACGGATGCAACTTGTCCCCGGCCTCCTGCGGCCACAATTCCTCGTCCCACTAAAGGAGGAACGAGATGAGTCCACTCTTCGACACTTCATCCTTCGTTTCTTTCTCCTACTTGCCGACTTTTTTCGATCTTACAGAGACACTAGAGGCGCACTTCATCCATGACGTAAGTATCTCGTTTAACACCGGTTCGCGAAAAGAAAAATTCGTTCTTCAGACGCGTTATTCCTCATCACGTTCTAATCGTTTCTAATAAAAAAAGGAGATTCTATCTGTTGCGCGAGAAAAGTCGTTTCAATTCAAAGATAGATCGAGACGAAAGAACACGGGGATCGAAGTTTTTTTTTTTTACAAACTCGAGTTCGAAAGAGCGATCGAAGAAGAGGATAGGTATTCGTCGCACTCGTGGACACTGATCATCCGTGGAAAGACGGTTTGTTTAGCGATCCGTAGATTTAGAAAAGAAGGCTGAAAACGGGGACGACTCTCGTGTGCCGGTGGAGAGGAACACCAGCTTTGTGACGCTTTTCACGATCACGGACGCTTTGTTCACGGACGAACACGTGCCTACTCAACCAGGCAACCAGGCCCAGTTTCTACTTTGCAGATTATCATAATCATAGTCACGAATGGAACATTTATCATATATATTTGTTCGACACGAAAGTCGAGAAACGAATTTCGTAAAATGGTTTTCA